CTTTATGTATTTAATCCCATTCTATTAACCAATGTCTTTGCTTCTGACCTTCGATGATCCAGTTCAACCGTACTAATCAGCACAAATTACTCTAGATGGACATTTGTGTCTTTTTTTATTGCTGAAGTGTGTTGAAATGTCTTCTTCTGCATTCTACTGCAAGGACGTAAATTTACTTTCCCTTCAGCCTGAGGCTTATTCATTTCACTTTTGGTGTGAAAAGGCTTTTATATATTTGCCAAAAATAGAACTTTTTTATTTTATAAACAAACAAGCAAGCCCTGTCCAGATTTAAAAAGTAACGTAACGCATTACTTTCCATAAAAAGTAACTAAGTACCGTAATTAGTTACTTTTTTATGGAGTATCGCAATATTGTAGTGCATTACTTTTAAAAGTAACTTTCCCCAACACTGGTCATTAGTTTTTAATATAGCATTGTCAACATTATTTGGAGATGATCTGAGAATGTTCTAGAATGTTACAAAACAAAAGGACTGTTTGGTCTTATTTACTGCTCATTTTAGTCATATAAATAAATAAATGAATTATCACTATACCTCTGAAACCACATGTTCTGTGACTGTAACTTAATATACAGTATGTAACATAAATGTGCAATATATTTAAAAGAAACATTATAATGTCCTGGCAGGAAGAAGGGGTTAATACAAATGCCTTCTTTATAAATACGTTTTCACAGTTTTACCTCAAACTTTTTTGTCGGCACATTCAGATATTTATGAAAACATTTATAATCAGATAATATCATATGATATTTCATGTGTCACAGCATGAAATATCATATTATATTATCATATGATATTCTAAACCATGATGCCACACACAAATTTGTATTTTTAAAATACACTAACAAAAATGTAATTCTAAAAATGTTACATTTTAAATGATGTAATTGCAAAACCAGGAAAAAATCTAAATGTTTGACCGTGCTGACTATTCAATACATGGAACTGAAACCATTATTTGTAGGTTACTTTGTCCCAGGACTCAAGAATCAAAGCTTTACAAAATTCATGCAGTGAAATACACACACATAGTGTGTTTCTGTAAAAGATGAGTGTGTGTGTGTGTTTTACAGATGTCATTTCCATCACGCAGTCCGCTGGGTGCACCAGATGTGCATGGTTAACAACATCTCTGAAACACTAATCTGGATGGATTATCTTTGGAGGATTGAAATTTATAGTGTGATTACAATTTTCAGTGATGCAGTGACCACTGAAGAACTGAATAACACTTCTGATTAACCGAATAGAAACACATTCAATCCAGACACAGTGACACATATTCAAAGCATGTGTATAAAACCATCTTTACCTGCTATCATGTGAAATGAATCTTTTCGACATGAAATAATAAATATACTTATATAAATGTATATAAAATATACATTTATAAAATAAATATATCAACTTGAAATGATTAAAAGATATGGAATTATACATTTAAAAAATATACAGTCACAGATGTTGTAAGATATCAAAGTATTAAAAAGAAGTGCAATTAGGTGCATAGTGACTTTGTTCTTTTTTCCTTTGTAGGAGATGGCAGTGAATGTATACTCCACATCAGTAACGATTGAGAACCTGAGCCGACATGACATGTTGGCGTGGGTGAACGACTCCCTTCAGCTCACCTACACCAAGATAGAACAATTATGTTCAGGTGGGTTGTACTGCCTTATTTCACAAAGTGTTTCTGTCTTTTATGTCATGAATGGCACTAGCATACTCTTTATTTCTGCTCCACTATTGATTATATAAGACTACTCTTAATTTCACAATAAAAAGGCTTTTACTTTGCCTTTGATCATATATGCTTAGTGTTTGTATCTCTTCCAGTGTAATCAGTCAAATTAAAGCATTTACTTTGCACTCTTTCTTTATCACTTGACACTAATAAGGTTAGCCAATCACTTGTTGATCAAAGACATTTTTCTTTTTTTGTCATCATGCAATGAATGAGCTCTGTTGTTGACCCATGTTCTCTGTTGCTGTTTGTCCTCAGGGGCGACTTATTGTCAGTTCATGGACATGCTGTTCCCAGGGTGTATTCTTTTAAAGAAAGTGAAATTTCAAGCAAAGCTGGAAACTGAGTTTATACATAACTTCAAAGTACTCCAGGCAGCTTTCAAGAGGATGAACATTGATAAAGTTAGTTGGCCCTTTGGAGTATTTGCTTCTATGTACATCTCACAGTTTTACTTCAAACTTATCTTTAACTTTAACTTTTTTTTTTTTACTTCTACTTTTAAGCTTTACTCAGTTAGAAAGTATAAATTAAAGCTTTCAGTTCATTTGGTAAAAAATATCAACTACAATAACAGTTGATTGAAAGAAGGCATGTTTGTTTATATGGCACATTTCATACTCAGTGGTAGATTCAAAATGCTTTACATAAAAGTGATTAATACTGATCGTAAAAGGTCGATGAGAAGGAAAAAATAGTACAAAATAATTTATTTAAAAGATACTAAAAAGAAAAAACAACAATACAGAGATAAAAATATACAGTGCATTCAGTAAGACTGAAGGAAAAAGTCACAGCATTTTTGCTTGTAATTTCAAAATATAACTTCAAACTTCTGTTAAACAAAGAAAGCAGCCTGTTGATGTGAAAATTAAGGGATGTGATTAATTAATTAATTGGGTTGTAATGGGTGAACGACTCCCTTCAGCTCACCTACACCAAGATAGAACAATTATGTTCAGGTGGGTTGTACTGCCTTATTTCACAAAGTGTTTCTGTCTTTTATGTCATGAATGGCACTAGCATACTCTTTATTTCTGCTCCACTATTGATTATATAAGACTACTCTTAATTTCACAATAAAAAGGCTTTTACTTTGCCTTTGATCATATATGCTTAGTGTTTGTATCTCTTCCAGTGTAATCAGTCAAATTAAAGCATTTACTTTGCACTCTTTCTTTATCACTTGACACTAATAAGGTTAGCCAATCACTTGTTGATCAAAGACATTTTTCTTTTTTTGTCATCATGCAATGAATGAGCTCTGTTGTTGACCCATGTTCTCTGTTGCTGTTTGTCCTCAGGGGCGACTTATTGTCAGTTCATGGACATGCTGTTCCCAGGGTGTATTCTTTTAAAGAAAGTGAAATTTCAAGCAAAGCTGGAAACTGAGTTTATACATAACTTCAAAGTACTCCAGGCAGCTTTCAAGAGGATGAACATTGATAAAGTTAGTTGGCCCTTTGGAGTATTTGCTTCTATGTACATCTCACAGTTTTACTTCAAACTTATCTTTAACTTTAACTTTTTTTTTTTACTTCTACTTTTAAGCTCAATTAGAAAGTATAAATTAAAGCTTTCAGTTAATTTGGTAAAAAATATCAACTACAATAACAGTTGATTGAAAGAAGGCATGTTTGTTTATATGGCACATTTCATACTCAGTGGTAGATTCAAAATGCTTTACATAAAAGTGATTAATACTGATCGTAAAAGGTCGATGAGAAGGAAAAAATAGTACAAAATAATTTATTTAAAAGATACTAAAAAGAAAAAACAACAATACAGAGATAAAAATATACAGTGCATTCAGTAAGACTGAAGGAAAAAGTCACAGCATTTTTGCTTGTAATTTCAAAATATAACTTCAAACTTCTGTTAAACAAAGAAAGACTTCTACTTTTAAGCTTTACTCAGTTAGAAAGTATAAATTAAAGCTTTCAGTTCATTTGGTAAAAAATATCAACTACAATAACAGTTGATTGAAAGAAGGCATGTTTGTTTATATGGCACATTTCATACTCAGTGGTAGATTCAAAATGCTTTACATAAAAGTGATTAATACTGATCGTAAAAGGTCGATGAGAAGGAAAAAATAGTACAAAATAATTTATTTAAAAGATACTAAAAAGAAAAAACAACAATACAGAGATAAAAATATACAGTGCATTCAGTAAGACTGAAGGAAAAAGTCACAGCATTTTTGCTTGTAATTTCAAAATATAACTTCAAACTTCTGTTAAACAAAGAAAGCAGCCTGTTGATGTGAAAATTAAGGGATGTGATTAATTAATTAATTGGGTTGTACCCTTGTTTTTTTGAACAGCAATTAATATTCATGAACTAATTTACCATAGTATGAAGGTAATTCATATTCATGAGTAAAGCCTTCACCTTAGTGTTTGTAAAATACAGACATCGTTAATAAAAAATGAGAAGTAACTTTCATCAATATCCAACATTAGGCCTAGATATTGCTCAACAGATCATTAGTTAAATAGTTATGAATGTAAATTAGTTATTAAAGGTTTGGCTGATATATTGATGTAGTATGCATTATAGTCATTATAGTGTTAAATGTATATTTTTATCAAGTGATGAGTCAGGGTGCTGGTTTTTGGTGTCAGGTTTTCTGAAAATATTACTTGAGACAAGTGAAGGTGTCTAATGTTCTTTGTCAAATATGCTTTTGTATTTTGTAATTCCTAGGATAGGAGAAAGGATTTTAAAGGGGTCATATGATGCTGCTAAAAAGAACATTATTTTGTGTATTTGGTGTAATGAAATGTGTTTACATTATTTTTCACATACTGTATATTATTGTTTCTCCTCTATGCCCCGCCTTTCTGAAACGCGTCGATTTTTACAAAGCTCATCGTTCTAAAAAAGCGAGGTGTGCTGTGATTGGCCAGCTATCCAGTGCGTTGTGATTGGCCGAATACCTCAAGCGTGAGACGGAAATGTTACGCCCCTCACCATACTGTGATGATGCCCTGTCAGGCCGGAGCGATGATTCAAAAACATGAAAACTCATTATAAACGAGGCATTCGTTGCATCCAGTGGGGACATAATTATGGATTATAATGACTTATACTGTCTTTTTACGCGTTGCGTTGCATCGCGCCGTGTAAACATAAAACCATGTCTGCATTTGTGATCGGAGAAATGACAAACAACAAGCCCTACTCTACACTGCCCAAAAAAAATGCTTTAAAGATATAAAATATAAAAAATCTTTAAATATAAAAAACTGTCTTTGAGCCAGAACAGCCGGCATTGTAGTCTACTCTCCCAGGATCAAGAAACGGTCCTCCATAAAATGTGCTGCACACATCTGAATATTTGGGTTGAACTGTTCTGGAACAGTGTTGTAAATACAACTTAACCACTGATTTCTAGTCGTGTCCGTAATTCATATTCATGAGTAAAGCCTTCACCTTAGTGTTTGTAAAATACAGACATCGTTAATAAAAAATGAGAAGTAACTTTCATCAATATCCAACATTAGGCCTAGATATTGCTCAACAGATCATTAGTTAAATAGTTATGAATGTAAATTAGTTATTAAAGGTTTGGCTGATATATTGATGTAGTATGCATTATATGTTTGTTAATAACTAATGGAAGTCATTATAGTGTTAAATGTATATTTTTATCAAGTGATGAGTCAGGGTGCTGGTTTTTGGTGTCAGGTTTTCTGAAAATATTACTTGAGACAAGTGAAGGTGTCTAATGTTCTTTGTCAAATATGCTTTTGTATTTTGTAATTCCTAGGATAGGAGAAAGGATTTTAAAGGGGTCATATGATGCTGCTAAAAAGAACATTATTTTGTGTATTTGGTGTAATGAAATGTGTTTACATTATTTTTCACATACTGTACATTATTGTTTCTCCTCTATGCCCCGCCTTTCTGAAACGCGTCGATTTTTACAAAGCTCATCGTTCTAAAAAAGCGAGGTGTGCTGTGATTGGCCAGCTATCCAGTGCGTTGTGATTGGCCGAATACCTCAAGCGTGAGACGGAAATGTTACGCCCCTCACCATACTGTGATGATGCCCTGTCAGGCCGGAGCGATGATTCAAAAACATGAAAACTCATTATAAACGAGGCATTCGTTGCATCCAGTGGGGACATAATTATGGATTATAATGACTTATACTGTCTTTTTATGCGTTGCGTTGCATCGCGCCGTGTAAACATAAAACCATGTCTGCATTTGTGATCGGAGAAATGACAAACAACAAGCCCTACTCTACACTGCCCAAAAAAAATGCTTTAAAGATATAAAATATAAAAAATCTTTAAATATAAAAAACTGTCTTTGAGCCAGAACAGCCGGCATTGTAGTCTACTCTCCCAGGATCAAGAAACGGTCCTCCATAAAATGTGCTGCACACATCTGAATATTTGGGTTGAACTGTTCTGGAACAGTGTTGTAAATACAACTTAACCACTGATTTCTAGTCGTGTCCTCTTTTGGAAGACCAAACAAAGTAGTTTCGCTTTCACAACGTAACACAGCGTCACACACGGCGGCCTTGAGTGAGCAGCGGCGGCCTAGAGTGAGCAGAAGCCGGGGGCTAGCGTGAGGAATGGCCGGAGGGCTAGAGTGAGTGGCGGCTGGTGGATTCGACGAAGGAGCGTCCGGCGGGCTTGCGGCAACCACATGTGACGACCCCGGGCTGGACTCTGCTTCGTCCCCGGTGAAAGCCGATCCGGCGATCCACAGCGTGAAGTTGATGTATTTCCTCAGCGACCAGCACGGATCAGCTCCAGGCATGACGAAGTAGATATCGTCCTCTTTTGGACCATTCAAGCTAGGCAGGGCCAAGATGTGGCGTCTCCACCAAATCCAGGTGAACACTTTTCCCACAAACCCAAGAGAACTGGTCCCTCAGGTAACCTCGAGATTCTGCCGCCAATTTGCTGCATTGATTGCTGAAGCTCTAATGATTGACAACATGCTCTGCAAAGCAGCTGGTTGTGCACAGGCCTCAGAATGATTTACTCCATGCCCAAGCTTTTATTAACGAGAAAACAATTAATTCAGCATTAAAACAGTGCTGTGTTGCTCTGTTAGTGCAGTACTAACAAACAGTTTTCCAAAATCAGTTCCTCAGTGTTCTCTCATGTGCCATCCTGAAGGGTCATTGCTTGCTTAGTGTCACTACGGTCAGTCCTATTCATCCCTCAGTCCCTCCAAATTCTTTATTGGTCATTTTAAAGTTATAGTCACCTGAAATAAGTTAACAAAAAAAACAAATAACACACATGCCTTTTATTTTAACCCTCTATTGCATGCCTTATGAAAGCAATGTTAAACATGACTGATTCAATTTTCTATAAAAATAAAAATTGGACTTCATAACTAAAATTAAAAAAAATAAATAAATTAAATCGGAAGCAACACTGTGGTAATGGAAATAAATAAATAAAACAAAAAGTATTAAAAAATAGAACAAAAATAAAACAAACTGTTATTACAGAAACTATTAGAACTGGTTTCTTAGTATACACTATATACATTTCACTTTAATGTTCTGTAAATTCTAAAAAAAATAATAATAAGTATTTTATAGTTAACACAAAAAGACACTACTGTTCAAAAGTTTTGGGTCAGTAAAAAAATAATACTTTTATGTATATATAATACCTTTTTTAATATAATTATGAAATGTTTCTACATAGCATATTGGAATGATTTCTGAAGGATCATGTGACCCTGATGACTGTAGTAATGATGCTGAAAATTCAGCTTTGCCATCACAGGAATAAATTACGTTTTAAAATATATTACAATAGAAAACAGTTATTTTGCCTTAGGTGAGAACTTTTGAATAGTAAAAAACAATTTAATTATATGACTGACATATAATTTATATGACTGACTCTTTTAAAGTGAATTTTATTCACTAATAAATATGAATCTTATTTTTGTATAGGTGACAAAAGGCTTTTTTGAGGCAGAGTGATAATGTGCGTCCTTGACCAGAAAAATATTTTAAAATCAGCACAAGGAATGTAGTGTTACCAACATTTTTCTTATTTTTTTTAAGTCATCCCTTCATTAACAACCCTTCATTGACATCTTTTGTGTTTGAAAAGTGATGGAAAAGGGTTACCCTGAGACAAAATTGTGCAATAGAGGGTTAACAGCCAAGAACTGGAAACATAGAGTCCCCAGAGAGGTACAAAAGTGGTATCCTAATTTGCTGAATATTGACTGCTTTTGTGATTGTTGGGGTGGATTGGGAATGTGACCTCCATTTAGTTTGTAGTCACATCTCGTCACACTTCCCTGACTTTGGTTAAATCTGCCAGATATAAAGCAGATAACAGGCTTTTGAAACAGTTAATTTTTGATCACACACACACACACACACACACACACACACACAGGCTTAACCAAAGTAATGGGGAGACACGCAGCCCATGCTGTAGCTTGTTAAAGGCTGAGCTTATGAGCTTACTTAGCTCATTTTAGTGAATCATTAGCTCTGTTCAAAAACCTAGTGAGCTGCCTCAGGCTTAACCAAGTAATGGGGTGACACGCAGCCCATGCTGTAGCTTGTTAAAGGCTGAGCTTACTGAACCTCTTAGCTCATTTTAGTGAATCATTAGCTCTGTTCAAAAACCTAGTGAGCTGCCTCCTTAGACTGCATTTAAAGGAATAGTTCACCCAAAAATGAAAGTTTGTTGAAAATGTACTCATCCTCAGGCCATTCAAGGTGTAGATGAGTTTGTTTCTTCAACCGAACAGATTTGGAGAAATTTGCTCACCAATGGATCCTCTGCTGTGAATGGATGCCATCAGAATGAGAGTCCAAACAGCGGATAAAAACATCACAATAATCCAAAGCACAACTTCATTCCATCAATTAATGTCTTGTGAAATGTTTGTAAATAAATTCGTAATTAAGATGATTTTAGCAAGTCCTATATCCATAATATATCCAGTGAAAAAGTTGTCTTGTCTGAATCAGGAGAGAAATAGGCACAGATCAAGCTCATATATCATTGGATTTTAATGTGAGAGGACAACGGGAATGATTTTTAAAATTCAATTCAAGTTTATTTGTATAGTGCTTTTCTCGATACAAATCGTTTCAAAGCAACTTTACAGAAAATTAAGTTTCTACAATATTTAGTAGTATCTTATCAGTGGTGACTGTCAGTTAATGCACATATGGCAGAAATGTACGGAAAATCAATTAAAGACGTAATCAAACAGACGATGAACACTATTAACAGCAATTTTGATATGATGTAATCAAACTTATAGCAACATTTGGTAGTTCTGTATGTTGTTTCAGGGTTGGCATCATCTCTGAAGGGAACCGACTGTGTTCAGAAAAGTTTTGATGGCATTTTTATTTTCTCTGATAAAGTAGAGTTCATGAGCGGAGCTGCTTTGATTACAGCCGTTACCAGGGAAACGCTAGTTTTATCACTCTAAAAGCGCCTCCTGCTGGCAGACAATCAGTTTGCATTTTCAATAATAAGCCCGTCTCCAGTAACAAGTTAGTCTCGTGTAGCCAGACCTTCAGACTGATGGCTGAAGGTCTGGAATTCATGGCAGCTTTTTTCATTGGCCAAGGCCTGCCCATGAGGCCGTTTGACCGACAGTTTGTTTCGTTCATCGTCACGTTTCGGGGCGTGGAAATGTCGCCACAATAACAGACCGGTGTGTAAAACCAGTTTTTGGTAAAACTCTCGGACGTATTTTAAAGATTCTATGCAGCGAACTTTAAATATTTCACATACTTTTAAAAATCCAGCGTTTATTTGATCCTGATAAGCACTCGTCGTCACAGTTGTAAACACGACGGCTTTCTTCTTTTTTGAGGGGGTTTGGCGTCACGGCATCTTTGTTTACAGGCGGAATGTTATAGAACGTTATTTTAATTGGAGAAAATTATTAGTCATCCAATCTTTTACATTTTTAACACACTCTGTTAGCTTAGATCATTTAGAAGTTTCATCTGGTCTTGTTGAGATATAACAGGCGGAATGTTATAGAACGTTATTTTAATTGGAGAAAATTATTATTTTTAACACACTCTGTTAGCTTAGATCATTTAGAAGTTTCATCTGGTCTTGTTGAGATATATAGTTGAGTATCATCAGCATAACAGTGGAAACTAATCCCGTATTTTCTAATAATATTACCAAGGGGCAACATGTATATTGAAAATAGCAGAGGACTTAGGACAGATCCTTGTGGCACTCCATATTTTACTGGTGATAATTGAGATGACTCCCCATTTAAATGAACAAGG